CCCCCGCCCCGCCCCCCCCCCGCCTGCCCCGCCCCCAGCCCCTGTCCATCCCCCCCTCCCCTCTGCTGCCGGCCCGGCCACAGCCTTCTTGCACTACGCCCCGCAACAGCACATCCAGCCAGATCGTATGCAGTGAGCTGGGAAGGAAGCGGAGAAGATGGAGTGGCTACGATTGGAGGAGGGAGTTGGGGTTGAGGATCATTGAACAGAGCGTGGAGAAACGCCTTCCGGCGTGACCCTACCGTCGTCAGCGTGGGCTTTCAGGCAAAATGGGGGGGGACTGTTGCACTATATGATTAGAATGAGCTGTTGGCTCATTGGTTAAATGGTAAAAGGGGTGGGGAGGGGTTCGAGGACTTTGAGGTTCAGGTTGGGAAGCTAAACGGCATAAAGTATGTGGATGCTTCCAAGGGCTTCCAGAAGCTGACACTTCGTTTTTTATTATTATTATTATTTTTATTGTCCTATATTATTGTATTAATGTCATTGTCAATGTTTGTCTGTATACCATTAATGTTATCATGTCTTTGGCTCAATCAATGGATGTTATGTTTCCATGGTACATATTGTTTGGAGAGTTGCCTGGGACATGTAACACCTCTTTCCTCCCAGCTCCAGAGGAACTGGGGTGGATATGAAGGGCACTGCTGCTTTTGGATGCTGGGGGTGCCGGGTGGTGACTGGGGAGGCTTGCAGACAGCCTCTCGGCCTATCTGCGGTCCCATCCTGGCGCTATCCACAGTGAAGTAGAGCACAGCTCCTTGAACAAACCTCCAGTGTTCAGCTCCACACAGGAGGACAAGGAGAGATTTCACCTAAAGGACAACACAAACTTTCAGTATGACACTGAGGGAGCTCTATTGTTTTGAGACTGTGATGTCAGGACTACACTTTTTTTGTTTTAGAATTCTTTTTAATTAAAGAGGCCTTAATAAAACAGACTTCTTTTTGAATCTGTTTTTCTAGTGCTCCCTTCACCACAGAATTAAGTGCAGAAAGCCCTTTGTCACTGCCCAGTCAGCAGTTAGTCACCTTAATCTTGCTTATTTGGGTCTTTAATTTCAGATGCATGTAGATAATCATATGCAGTATGTGGGCAAGGGGGGTCAGGGGCGCTGTGCATTGACGTTGAAAGGTAGCCAACACTGAGCTCAAACACCAGTGTATTTTTTTTCCTTTCTTTTGTCACCGAGATTGTCACAGACTTGTTGCTGTGAAAAGGACATTCATGTACAGCATTTTAAAAATGTTTTCAGTCATCAAGTACATTTGCAATATTTATATGTAGGTATTTATCAGAGGTACTAAGTTAAAATGGATTCTTTTTTTTTTTTTTTTTTTGTCAATATGACTATAGTTGATGACATTTAACCTGCAGAACCACAGGTGTTGTATTCAGTTTGTTTTTGTCCTGTCACCATGTCAGTCAATTTGCCTGGGTGCACAGAAAATCTTCAGAATAGTTTTTTTTTATTTTTTTTTTCTCAATCAAAAAGTCTTTTACAGTCCCTTCAAAGAAGCCATTCCAAAAAAATAAAGAATTTGTACTTAAATGCATGGCTTATGACTACTTCTTTTATTAAATTAAAAAAGAAACCTTATTCTGTCACCCACAGAGTCCAAAATATCACCAAGTCAGTTGTTATTGCAGTGTCACTGTTTACATAAAACTGAAAGACGAATCCTGCTGTGATGAAATTGTGAAAACCCTGTGGGGTGAGATGGTTCAGTTGTGCGTGTGTACTTGTTATCAAGGTTGTGCGTGCTGTTGGATCTGTATTGCCGGGAGGGGGGTCAGGAGGCCCAGACTTTTATCAAGTCTTAACACCACCACCTACCAGGGCTGCTGGGTGTTGCCTCACCAAACACATTTGCGTTCGTTCTCCCTCACTGAGAGTTTTGTGTAAGAGTTTGTCAGAAAGTGGTTTGAATCTCTGTTAGCCAGAGCTGCAGGTAAAGTTTTTTGTTTTTTTTTTTTCCCCCCCATGCTGCTAAACAAACTCCGATCCCTGTTTCCCAGCAGCGTCTCTACATGTTTGTGCTTACGTCAGCTACTTTAGATGTGCCACTTCTTAACCCCAAAGAAAACAAAACACAAGCAAGGTTGTTAGAAACAAAATCCTTTTCATTATCTTTTTGTCCTTACCAGGATGTAATTTATCCACCCAGTAATGATTTACAACATGGCCCTGAGTTCAGTGGATGTTTTTGTAAGGCTCTGATTCACTGAAATCCATTTACACATGAAATCCTGTACTTAATTACATGGGAGACCGTGTCATTTAAAAGAGTCTTAGGTTGTTTTTTAGTCTTATCCCTCAGAGTTGTGCATTGTTTTCAAGTGTCCTAAGTTTGTTAAAGAGGTACTCCTGTTATTTTGTAGTGTTCTTGCATTTAATTTGGGGACATTAAGGGACATAAGGTTGTGTCTACAGTGATAGCTCTGAGCCTGTGCTTGTCCACAGTGGCGTGTGCTGACAGGGATGATGATGTTGACCATCTTCACTGTGGTGAATGACAATCTTAGTTGAGTGTGTTCGCATACTAACATTTGCTAATCAGTGCTAAACAAAATACAGGTGGCTAATGGGAGTGCCATTAGTTTTGCAGGTATTTGGTCATAAACCAATTGATTGTACAAACTAAAATTTGACATGACACTAACTGAAAAGCCAGGCACACCAAAATTATTGCAATTCATATTTAGTGAGAGTGAATGTCTACATCGGGTTGCATGGCAATCCTTCCAATAGCTGATAAGATATTTAACTTCCAGCTACAATATGTAACTTATTTTCAAATATTTCTGTGACTCAGCTCTGGCAGCAGTGCAGAGATATTGGCTTCTAAAAGGTATTAAGTGGGACTGACCTCTCTAACCAATCAGAGATTTTCAATTATTTCTGCTTATCAATAAGTTTTGTTGCATTCTCATTTCTTGTAATTTCATAATGACAAATATCCAAAGAGCTGGACAGAGCGTGGCAGACTGTAGTAGAGCATAGTGGAGCAGGGAGAGGGAGCGCTGGGCAGAGCAGAGTGGATTGATTTGGAGTTTCATGCTACTGCTACTTAAGTTACACACTGTAGCTTTAAAATCACAAATGTCAACCATCTAGTGGCACGAGGGCCAGTCAGTAAGTTTTGTCCTCAGGATTATGAATGTCTGTATAAAATTTCATAGCAGTCCATAGATGAGTTTTTCAGTCTGTCATCATTCCAAAAGCTCAAAATCAAATCAGCGAAACAGCATTTGTGATGTGTTTAGGTCATATGGGATGGATGGATGGCAGAAACTGTGACCTGTGAGTGTTCACAGCATGGACAGCTAAAAATGGGAGTGCTATTTATAGGCTACTAGTAATTACAATATAAAAGGACAGCTACAGGTCAAAAATACAACTACATTTTTCATAATGCAACTTGACAGTGTTATCTTTTTGCCTGATAAAATCCCACATCTATACCTTCAGCCTGTAAGATATTATACCACTAGGTTGACTGAGTGCTGTTTGAGGTGTAAAATTGGTGGAGTGCCCCTTTAACAGATACAATGAAGGCATTGTGATGTATGAGATATATCAGTTTTTTTGTTTTTCAGTGATGACAGCAGAGTGTGTTTGTGTTCAGGAGCTGCTTGAAAGAAGTCATGCACTATGTTAGTAAGACAACACAAAGGACAAGTTGCAGTTTTTATTGCTGAATCGTGTCACAGATTTTTAAACACACTCGCACTCAACAGAATTGATGTCAGTGCTGTTGCTGTGTTTTGTTCCTGTAGCGTGGCAGCTCTGGTCCCCCCCCCTTCACTTTGTCACTGATTAGCTTTCTCTGTCTCTTCCCCCATTCTCTGTTTGTGAACTCACATTTGTTTACTCAACTTTTCTGCTTGTCACATTTTTTTTTCTCACCAATGTCTCTCCCTGTCTTCCTCACTTCAGTGGCCATGGTCCTGTTTCTCCTCACATGCCACTGTCTGTCCCTGTCTCTACCCGCTTTTCCTCCTTGCGTTCCTCTGAATCCAGGTGTCAGCTTGATGAACGAGGTCATACAGCCCCAGCAGAACTTGTTGTGCTGAGTCACCATAAGACCTTTCTCTGTCTGTCTGTCTTTGACATGTAAATTCAGTCAAATCTCACTTTCCTTATATTTCTCCCTCTGTTGTTCAGCTTCAACATCAAGGGGTATACTCAGAAATGTCATAAAAACCGTCCCACCTTATCAGACCTTCGCTCAGCTTTAATCACAACCACCTCACTTGTTTTCATCGTCTGATATCACTGTGTGTGTATATATATATATATATACATATAGTAATACAGTAATTATGAGAACTCTGAGAACTCAGAGAGCCTTCATTTGGAAGCTAATGCTTTATAGAGAATTGTATAAATAGCAATTTCATGAGCTCATTATTTTGTGATGAGTTGTGATCATGCATTCATACTAATTCATGAAAATGGTCCCTTGTTAAATTTGACTCATTTTACACCTGACTGGCCCCCTGTCTCTTGTGTCTGTGTGGCAGGACAGATTGTTCATGGGTCTGTCTGGACCTGGTGAGTGTCAGTGTTGTAGCATCAGACAGACCTTAGATACAGGCTATATTTACCCACCCTCTTAGAAGAAATTACTGGACCCCAGAGGCCCATCACATGCACTCTCCCGTGCCCTTTTCTCGTAGGAATAACCCATTAAGATAACATGGACAGGCCTGGGAGACAGTCAGCATGTGGCCGGAGGAGAAGAGTAATGACTATGATCTGCAGGACCATGCGTTACTTTTGTGACTCAAGGAAATTTGAGCCTGAGATGCCGCCACAGAGTGAAAAATGGCGCTATCGAAGGTATTGCTTATTTTGATGGTATGTTGGAGGTTTTAGTTTTACCCAAAGTACAAGAAGTGGAGGAGGAGGAGGAATGTAAAATCTCCAAAAACAGATTCCAGTGTTACACAGATGCTACAGTTCTAGACAAAGGATGAAGACAAAGAAGGAAACAAGAATTAAAAGCAGTGGAACCAAACCTGCCAATAGAAGTTGAGTAACCTGATCGGTCAAATGAGTACTGAAGAATTCAGCTGGTTCAGCCAGTAAGACAGGGTGCAAAGTCTTCATAAATCAGCATTGTCTTCTACATAAACATGCCCCTTTGTCCCTAAGAAACTGTTTTGGCAGCAAGTGTGCAAGAGCCTAGTGTGGGATGCAGGCTGTTGATAGAAAAATGACATGGGTGAGTGTGGAGTGTGAAGAATTATGTCCTGTAAAGTGAAGCTATGTTACTTTTGTAGAGTACTACAGGATCACAAATTCAGCAATCTGAAGTTTACTAACATTAGCTAGCATTAGCCACTGTGGGCAACTGGCCACACTAGACCAAGTAAAATTGTAAGAGTAAAATGCCCAAGTACGTGTAAATCGACAAGGGTGCAGTTTAATTTTTATGAATCCAATTTCTCATTAGTAAGATAATAGTGTCCCTGTTGTTTCTAGATTGCACCTGCATTGCTTTTTCCCCATTGGCTACTCCCTCATCAATAATTTATTACTTTTGTTGAGGAATTCGTTTGGAAATGCTGCAAACTGTATGTTGTTCACCCTAAGTAATGAAACCTGAACATTGTAAGACATGATGAGATTAGTAACTTTTGTAAGATGGTGAAAATGTCAGTGGAAAGTAACTTGGAAAGTGTGCCACCATGATGGCGGTGTCGTGATAAAGACTGAGATATTTGGGGACCAGTGTGAGTTTTCAGGGCTTTCAAGTGCTTATCTAACAGCAGGCCTGTATCCTATCAGCTGCTCTGATGGCCCTACACACCGCTCTCACACCTCCACCAGTACTTCCACTGAGGCTGGTGATAATGACATGAGCCAGAGGACACCGGACTGATACTTGTGGTACAGTTTATCAAAGTAAATGGGAGTTAAGGGGGTTTAATTAGTTAGTGAGA